AAGGAAGGAAGGAAGGAAGGAAGGAAGGAAGGAAGGAAGGAAGGAAGGAAGGAAGGAAGGAAGGAAGGTGGGTGGTGTGCTCAGCTGCTCTCACCCTGCTGACCAGCGACAGCGTCTTGCTCTCCTCCTGGTAGCGCAGCAGAGAGATGCTCTTCATCAGGTCGGCTGCCAGGATGAAGTTCTTGATGCTGATCATCTGGTGGATGTAGAGCTGCGTGTCGATGAAGGCCATCCCCGTCAGGTCGTTGTCCTTCAGGACCCACAGGAAGATCTGCAGACATGGAGGCTGTGAGGCATCCTGCTGTGCTATCAGTGACTGGTTAGTGGTTCCCTGGTAACGCTCTCAGTCAGGGTTACTGTCAGGCAACAGCTGCTCCTCACTACAGATAACATGAACATATGAGTGTGTGCTGTGGACCTTTTGGCCGATGGCTGACACCAGGTATCCATGGCAATGGCACAGAGCCGTCACGGGGCCCTTCTGCTCCTTCTCATAGAGCACCTTGAACTTGTTCTTGGTGAGCGGCTGGCCCGGTTCTGGGACCACCTCGATCACATCCAGGATCAGAATCTGAACACAAACAGACTTCGTTAAGGACATGGAAGCATCAGGGCTCCGTCCGCAGAGGTAGGGGCCACTCACCCTGCCCCTGCAGGTCACCTCCTCCCCCTGCATCACACAGGTCCCTGCTGCAATGTAGCCCTTCAGGCCGGAAACCGTCTCCTGACTCCTCAGAGCCACGGTCTTCATGCAGGTCACATGTTCCCACTCCTCCAGGTCGATCCTGGACGAAATCAAAGCTCAGATCAGCCTGGTGGCTCCATGAAAGCCTCAGAGGGAGGGTCTGATTTACTCAACTGATTATTAACCATTGAAGGAAACATCACATTAACCAGCTTATCATCAAGGAGTAAATCAGTTCATTTCAAATGATTTTAGTCCGTTATTCTTACAAGCAAAGACAATTTTATACATCTAAAATAAAAAAAGGCAACCCATCCTTTATAAATAAAACTAGTTTGAATCAAAAAGTGTTTTTTTTTTCTTTGACAGATTTAATATTTTCTCTTTTCCAGATCAAGTTCTGCGAATATCTTTTTCACATTTACGTTATTCCCTGTCCTTGTAGGGGCGGGGCTTCCTCCGGAGGGGGGAGAAAAGACGCATTCCTATTGGTCTGAGAACCTTTCATAGGTTGAGAGCGGCCGTTTGGTTTGGCTTAGAGGGGAGAGAATGGGATCTTTTTTGAGAATGCTTTTAAAAAAATATAAAATCTGTATAAAAAAAAAAAAGACATTTTTCTTTAAGAAAAACAATTTGAAAAAATATATGAAACAGATTTGAAAAATAAAACTAGAATAAAATTTGAAGAAAAATAGCAATTTTTATTTTAAATTTACAAAAAGTCATGTTTTTTTTTGTTAATTCTATTTACAAAAGATTTTTTTTTTTTGCTTGATTATTCAAACTTTATTTATTTTTTCAAATAGCTCTTTCTATTCCGTTTTCCGGATCACATTTTCTCCACTTCTTTCCTCTGGAGTGAAGCTGCATTTCTATTGGTCTGAGAGGTAGCTAGCAGCAACAACATTGTATCGGTCAGGGGTGAGAATGTGATCCGTGAAACACAATATGAATAGAAAGCAATTTATAAAACCTACGGTAATCTGAAAAAGAGAAATTTAGAAAGAGAAAAAATTTAATATAAAATCTGTAAAAAAAATAATAACTTTAATAAAAAAGTTTAAAAACAATTATGAAAAAAGCTTTTCTGATTACGCAGTTTTTCAGAGTTTTAGTTCGGCATTGTAATTTTTTCGCTTCAAATTTTCATTTATAAATCATGTTCTTTGCTTGCAGCAACATTGGAGTAAAATTCACTCCATATATCTGGATTTATGGAATGAATTTTACTCCATCTATCATCTTGTACGTGAGTGAAGCAGTACAGAGGACAGCAGACGGACATCAGCGGAGCATTCAGGGTTTGTTTTACCGTGTGTTGGGGATGGTCTCCCAGCTGACAGGAGAGATGAGCTGGATGGAGAACTTCTCCTGCTGAGGGTTAATGTAGCGCTCGTCTAAAGAGAAACAGGAAGAGAAACAGGAGACTCATAAACCCACAGATTTAAATGTTCTTTTTAATAAACACAAAGGAGTAAATACAGAGGAGAGGACAGGATGAATCTTTAAGATAAAACATTAGAATGTAGATTTAATGTCGCTAACAGAAAGCGGTCATAGTTTGTTCAGTATGCGAAATAAAATTGTAATGGGTATGCAAGTGAACAAAATGCTAACTTGTTTTATAAAGGCTGATGCCTTCAAAAACATCAGTACATCAGAATCAGAGTTAAAGGGTTGTGTAGACCAACAGGAAGTGTGTTTTCTCTGACCTCTCTCAATGGTTTCAAACTCCTTCTCCTCTCCCGTCATTCTGGGGATGCGGGTGCACAGCTCTTTCACACTCGTGCACACTGCGTACACCTGGAAGCCAAAAGGAGGAAAACAAACTTTGACATCAAAGAATGATCTCTCTTTAGAGTCCATCAAATGTTTTCTGCTCTTTGCAGAAAGTCAATCTTCAAAGTCAGAGTTCCTTCAAGTCAAACCCTGCTGGTTTCACCCTGCTTCAGGTTAAAGACTGTTGAATTCAGAGCGGAGAGAGAAAGAAAGCTTTGCCTTGGATTCGACGTGGTAGGAGACGTAGTGGACGGTGCACCTCAGGGGGATTTTCCTGACGGGCCAGGGGGCGTCGTAGGACAGGTAGGTGGGGAGGACGCTGATCCTCAGCTCCCCCTGTGGAAGAATGGAGGCCAGGTTAAAACCCCACCAGTAACGGTAGGAATATGGAGATGTGAATTTCATTTCTAGACATCCAGAATGTGATTTTTAGAAGTGGAGAATGTCAAGTTGTTGACTGACAAAGAAAAAAATTATTTACATTATAATACAAACCAATAAATATCTAAACAGCCTGCCATAGCCTGCTGATAACGTTACTGAGGAAACTAGATTATTTCTTGACTGGTAGTAGATCAACGGATCTATTTAGGTGAAATCATCTGTCAGCGGGTGATTCAGCACAAACATAGCACAGTTGTTTGACACTAAATGTATTTATTTTTGCAAATGTGAGCAGGACCACTGGAGTGTTTGACCTCTGATGACCCCTGGAGAATCATTTGTCTTTATATCTTTAAAATGATAGGAGCACAAATGAATAAAATGATTGCTGCACAAACAGCACAAACGTTTTACACCAATTTTGTCTGATTTCATAAAAATGGGGGGGCTGATTGACCTTTTGACCTTTAACTTAATATCTTCTAAGCACAAACAATGTTTTTTCTGCACAAACCAGCACAAACATAGTCACGTTAATTGACACCCATATCATCTGATTTGAAGAAGGTGGGGGGGCTGGTTGACCACTAGACCACTAGAAAAATTTCTTTATATATCCAAAATGATAAGAGCAAAAATGAAATTTTTTCCTGCACAAACATTTGACACCAATTTTGTCTAATTTGAAGAAGGTATGGGCGCCATTTCACTCATGTTGTTCTAACAGGTAGGACCTGTGCATCATCTCATTGGGTTCCTCCTCATTTTGATTCTGTCTTCCATCACACTGTAAACACTAAGTGGCTGTTTGACTCTGCAGCTGTTTCCTATTAGGCTGTTATCACACATCAGTTACCATGGCAGCGCTCCAAGGCAGCGGCCAAGAGCAGCTCCTCTCAACAATTTCACAAAATAAGGCGCTTAAAATGATACAAACTAGACTTCAAACCCGCATCTATTATCGCCAACCCCTGCTGGAGCTACGGTTACAAAATGTTTTAAATACTGATATTTTTGACCATTTAAAAAGCTGCGGAGTGCTACGGACAGATGTCAACTAAACAACAATGATATGCAAGTGCTGCGCCATCTTTCTGACGGGGTCTTGGCTGTATCCAGCAGTACCGGACGGTGCTATTAACCTGGGGGGGCTGATGCTGTACCGCGCCGATAGAAACAAAGAGCTCTGTGTGAATGGAGGCTCCTCTGAGACTGTTCCCAGGCAACCTTCAGCACCTAGAGGGGAAGCACAGCCCTCTGCAGGTGAAAATGAGGAGAGCACTCTAGATGCTTCTCTGTCAAATGCTGAAACATCCTCAGGCGGCCCCCTCTGGCTTCCACACCTTCTCCAGCGTCATCTGTTGCTGCTAAACCTGCCAATGGCACCACTGCTGCTTCAACCCAGGGGGCTACCACCCTCACAGCATCGTCATCATCGTCCTCTCATCGCGAGTGCTTCAGGAGCTGGAGGCAGTAGCAGCAGCTCAACAACAACTGCTGCTCACCTTATCAAGGCTGCACTTTAAAAAATGAAATTGTCTAGCTTTTTTTCTTTTTCTTTACACTTGTGTATACAAAATTACAAAAAAAATCTGTCTGTCTCAGTGTTCTCTCACCAATATCAGGTTCTGTTAAATCCCTGTTAAAGAAGTCGGCGTAATGCTGCAGATGTGAGGAGGGATAAGGTCTGGATGTCTGTGATGAATTGTGAGGTGAAACGGTAGCGCTCATAAAAAATGACTTCCTGAATTTGAAAGGACATCTAAGTGCCGTCTGAGAACCATAAATATTTAATTAATGCCGCTCATTCTTCACCTAATGTGCCTGTGCAAGATTTTCTTTTAAATTATTATTGTTTGCAAATAACTACGTCAAAAATCTCCCGACTAAATTAGGGAATAAAACAAACTGATTGACTCTAAGGAGGGCGGAGACAGAGGAAAACCTGCTGCCCACCAGGTTACCTCTATGAGGATGTTACTATGGTAACAGAAACAGACGTTGAGGAAACTCTCTTCAAGAAATGGAAACTCAGTTTCCTGACTTCATGTTGACAAACTTTGAGTTTTCATTAAACCCGGTTCATGAAACAGGCCTGGAGTGTGTAGAATATACCCCCATCTAGTGGTGAACTACATGAATTACACCAGTAGACTGATGCTTTTCTGTCTAGCATGTGAAACCCATTACATGAAGCTTTTCTCTTTGTGAATGGAGGGGACACATCAACCTCCGTCATCCTTGTTAAATCAGCTAAACTAAACAATGAAACATTTCTCTGAAAACAGCTGAAATACGCCTACGCTCGTTAGCTGGAATGACTGCTTTGAGAATTAGCAGCAGGCGATAACTGGGGCGTGTAAAGCTGACATTTCTCCATTTCAACAACTGCTCTGATGGAAAATATTTTTTACTTTACCATCTTTTACTTTTTACATAATATTTTTATAATAAAAAGTCAAATTTGTTTAATTCGTCTCTTAGAGTTTATAAAATTTATTTTAAAAAACAAGTGAAATGTTTTAGAGGCTGTATGTCTAAATTTAAAACTTATTGTTTTAGATAAAACCGCCATTAAATCCTCTTATACCAATTTTCTTATTTTCAAACAGCTGAATTAGTCTGGATATAATCAATCAACAGAGAAGAAGAAACGCTTTAAGTGAAAAATAAAAACTGCTGAATGAAGCTAAATTTAGGCCGATTTAACTGAACTTCCTGTTATTAAAAAAGCTTGATTAGTAGTGAAGCAGGCTTTATCTACCTGCTTGTTGAAGTAGAGGAAACCTTTGGGACAGTTGATGTTGTGGAACGGAGAGAAGGACTCGATTGGCCCGTCGATGCTCATCGGGTGGAGCCTCAGAGCTCCTCGTGACGTGACGAACATCCAGTGAGGAGACGGGCCGCAGATAAACACCTGGACCAACAACAGTGGCAGAGAGTTATGGCTGGACGCCGTGAAACCAGGTCCATGGATGTTCTTTAGAGATCTTAAACGTCTTACCCCTGAGTAACCAGAGATGTCCTCAAAGTATCTGAACCTGGAGATGTGACCCTTCGTCGGAGGGCCCTCCTCTGCGCCGCTCTCCGCCTTTTTGTCTTTCCTCAGTTTTGATTTCTTTTCTCTGAAGTTGATGTTGTGGTGCACCTGCTCAGAGGAGGGAGACAGAGAAGCTGTGAGCTTTGACCTCTGAGAAGACGGCGGCTCGGCTGCTGCATCGTACCTTTTTGAAGCGAACTTTCAGGTTGTTCTGTGGCTGCTGCTGATCGTACGGGAACGCCTCGTAGATCAGAAGCTCGTTCTCCACGTAGACCTGAGAAACACCAAGAGGATTTTATGGCTTTGTTTTGATTTTACTAAACAGCGGATGAAAAATGCTGGTGAAACTTGTCAGTTATCCAGGTCATTTCAAGAAAAGAAAATTCAAAACAATCCACTGGACTTTGTTTCAAGTTTGATGACGTTTCACTTCACATCCAGGAATTTTTTTCTATTCAAAATGTCAGGAATATGGTTGAGTTCAAGGTTTAATACAGTAGCCCAACAAAGCCTTGTTTTTGTTTTGAAAAAATGCAAATTAAAATGTTGAAAAAGCTTCCTGGATGGGAAGCAAAACGTCTTCAAACTTGGAAACAAAGTCCATTGGATTGTTTAAATTTTCTTTATTAGAGTGGATGAAAAACTCACCAGTAAATACGGTCTGCTGCGATTGTTGCCCAGAGACACCAAGGCGACTTCTTTGATCACCGGGAACTCTCCCTGTCGAGCGACTTCCTCCTTTTTACCATCCGCCTGCGTGGCCGACTGGCCAGAAGAACTGTCCACCAGCACCCGCTGACCTACTGGGAAGTTCTTCACCAGGAAAACCAAGCGCCAGTCTGGCAGCTGGAAAATCTACAAATCAAAGACCAGAGAAACTTTGACCTGCTGCCTGAAACTAAAAGAAAACTACTAAAAAAGAAAAACCATGAAGGTATTGATTATTTTCCTGGTTATTCATTTCATGTTGTAAACAATAAATGTTATTATGACACAAACACCAAACGGTATGAAGCCTCTTCTCGTCTTCTTCTTATTTACTCCATAGTTACTGATTAAAGGTTTCAACAACAAACACAACTGCAATTTTCCTGTTTTATATTAAAGGTATAGTGAAGAATTTCCACAATTTTTTTTAAAAGAACCACCCTCTTCACTTAAAAAAAAAATGCACATCCGCTACCCTGTACCTGCTCCCGAGATGGAACTCCTATTAAATGTGTGAGAGAGCATGCAGGAGCCCATTTCTCCACCTGCCCACTCTGTTTAAAAGTTGCTGTTCCCATATCAATACGAGCTAACTGTGCCCAAAAGTCCGATCTCACCCCTAAATCCCTCAAACACGATATACAGCGGGGACTATATAGTGGACTTTATAGTGAACTCAGTTAACAGTGTTCCTCTTTACTTAAAGGGGAACACAGTTTTTTTTACATCAGGCCCTTGATTTTTACGTTATTACATCATGTTCTACTCACTCATATGAGTTTTGTGTCATTTGGAGCCGTTCTGAAGATATTCGGTTTGGTTATATCCAAGTAACGTCTTCCTATGGGCAACGACTTGAACACACAAACTAAACTGTTCATAATTTATTCTTTATGTTACGCCAGCATTCATAAAATGTAAACGAATCACTGTCCTCCAGACATCCGCGGTTATATTTTTTAGATTTATATATTTTTTTAAAACAAAGCGGAGCGTGTATGATGTCATCCGTACGCTGGACTGGAGTTGTAACAGTCAGCCCGGGCCACAGGCGGCTACGCTCTACCCCTTCTATTCATTAGGCTAGCTAATCTGAATCGTTCAATTCCATTTTGAGATAATAGATTATAATCAGAAAAGTGTTTTGTTGTCCTTTATAGGTCTTTTAAAGGAATCTGTATCGCTCTATTTCTACCAACAAACTAAACTTTTGATTTAAATAATTGCCCTGTGATGGACTGGCGACCTGTCCAGGGTGTACCCCGCCTCTCGCCCATTGACTGCTGGAGATAGGCACCAGCACCCCTCGTGACCCCACTCGGGACAAGCGTGTAAGAAAATGGATGGATGGATAATTAATGTATGTATTTGATTTCTAAAACTACTAAAATGAAAAAAAAAAAAAAGATGAATGAGTTTAGCTCCAGACTTAGCCGTCAGCTTTAAACGTCTCAGGTTTAGAGGGAGGGCCTACCTCCATCACCCCGTTGTCTCTGATGATCACACACCAGTGGGACGGCTCTGCTTTGCCTGAGCTCCCTTCGCCGCTGTTGCCTGCGGGTCCCGCTGAGTTGCGGCTGGTTTCCTCCTTTGAGGGCTGGTTGGTGCTGGACTCTCCGTACAGCATTTCCTCCTCGTCATCCACAGCGTTGCTGCTCAGACATGAAAGGTGAGGATTAAAGCATAAACAGGAGATCTAAGGGGCAGATTATACTTCTGCAACCGCACATAATCAAATGTTGCTTGCGTCTGGTCGCGAACCCGTTTTGCTGGTATGCGTCTGCACCGTTGGTCTGGAATTTCTAGGGACGCACAGCAGTTTCCCGCCAAAGTGCTCAAAGCCTATTCAAGAACTCGCGAGAACTTCGGCGGCGCTGCGGGAGTATTTATTTTTCAAAACAACAATGACGCGTCTGCAAGATATCGAGGTCACAGAGATGGATCTAGAGTTGCTAGACATCAAAGAGGAACAGGTTCTGGCTGATCTCCCTCCAGAGGACCTTGGCATCTTTATATACTTTGTCTAAGTGGTTGTACTTCCGAACCTCCTCGATTAACCTTTCGTCATAGTTGTCCATTGTAGTTGTTCCTTGGTTTTTAAAAATGGCGCGCCCCGGCACCGAATCTAGAAGGACGACCAAACAGACAGCCTGGAAAGGCATACCAAGGACCAATCACAGCTGCTTTTTGTCTGCGCACTTCCGCTTGAGGTCTGCGCGGGTTTGCAACCATCCGACACGAAGTCAGGAATTATTTGAGGTGCAAGACGACGGTTGCAGAACCTCTGAGCGGGGGGCGTGGTCGCGCACAGAGACAGATTGGACAGTTGCAGAGGCTATGCGTCAGAAGCATAAATTGGCCTTAAGAACGCACTGACAGGTAGCCTGATAAACCAGACTAAATGGGAGATGAAAGGTGTTATTTAGGCTGGCCCCGATAAAGGAGAAATGGGAAGATTGTTGATGAGAACAACCTGTTGTTTTTCAAAACATGTCTGTTGTCTGTGCCTATTGGCCAACGCTCTGACCAATGAGCGCAACTGACTGTGATGTAGTAAGCGAGACAGAAAGCTGGTGGGGAAGCGTAAACAAACAGCGTGTCAGTAAAACGGCAAATATGTCCTTCTTAAAAATGAATGAGCGTAGAGCTGATTCTAAAGCTGAGTCAAAAACCGCCATCAGAGCCAGCCGTCCTTCACACACGACTATGCCGAGAGAGGGCCGCTTCAGACGGGCGAAGGTTAGCCCTGGCTGCCGTTAGCTTCGGAGCTCCGCTGGTTACAGCGATCCTCTCAACTTCGGAAATAGTTTTTTTAATTACGCATTAAATCGGTAAATGGACCATATAGTGACGCATTAAAGTATAATATTCTCGCCTCAAATTATCTTAAAATGTACTTTTATTGAACAACAGCAACAGAAAAGAGAACTTTTAACTTTCAATGGAGTGCTCCTTTGAAAGTTGCTGCTGCCGCAGTACATGCTACTGTTCAATAGTTGTTGCCATCTTCCTTGTTGTGCTTTCTCCAGCATCGGGCAGCTTTGTCTCCACGCTGTCAAAACCCCGCCCGCTTTGCATCCAGACATTCAAAACACATCTCTGCGTTGTGATTGGCCCACCAGTTCTAGGGCCTGAGGCATTGATCGAGGCTAGACAAACTCACAGGCAACAATAATCTTGGCCGCTGGTGGGTGGGGCTAGTTTACTAGGCTAGCTGAAAGGGCGATGGGAGCTCATACCTGAGGTCCTGGTAAACCGTCTCCTCCTCTGAAAGGCTCCTGCTGATGAAGTCCTCTTTGGTGGAGGAGCACGTCTTGCTTTCTGTGGTGAACATGCCGCTAACATCTCGGTACGCACACAGAGCGATCACGCGGGATTGCTTTAAAAAAAGAACAAAAAAAGATCTTAAAAAGGTATTTGATACAGAGGCAATTTGTAAGAAAAAGAAATGTAATATTGCAGTCTTCCCAGCAGGGGGTGCTCTTTTTAACGCTCTTTCAGCCTCAGGGAAATAAAATATAGCGCGCTGCACTCACGGTGGAAATCTGTGGTTTCTGCAGGGCCAGTCGGTGCGTTTTCCCCATGTAGGAGTCGCTTTTCAGCACAAACATGGTGACCACGCCCTCAGCCGTCATGATAACCACGTAGGGGTCGGCCACGGAGCAATGCACGATGGGAGAGCCCAGATCCACGGGGATGAAGTGGAGCTGTTTCACTGAAAGCAGGGGGAGGATAAACATCCAGATCTTCCATTTGTGCAGGAATCCTTAAAAGAGGAGCTGATTTTACCTCCTTCTAGCAGGCGCAGGCCCATGGGTGAGACCTGGATGATGTACTGGTCATCGCCGATGTTTCCAGCGAACACAGTCGGCCCCTGAGTAGCAAACCCACTGGTGTCCAGCTCCATTATTTCCTGACCTGTCTGAAGAATCTGCAAGCGAGCATCACAGAGGAACCGCCTGATTACGCTTCGCTAGAGACGCAGTAGAAAAAGAGAGAAGCAACAGTGGCGTTCGTCCTCCTACCATGGTGGAATCCTCTCTGCTCAGGATGAGAAAGCCGTGCCTTTTGGAGTCGTCCTCCAGGGGGCGCTCCGTCTTCTCCTCCTCTTTCTCTGGCTCTTCCTTGTCCTTCTCTCCCTCTTCCCCATCCTCCTTACCTTCTGCCTTCGCCGCGTCGTCCGACTCATCGCTTTTTAAAGCCTAGAAAGAAACAGGCAGCAAAAGGTTTTTTTTTTTTAATCAAAATCTTTTTTATTGACATTTTCACATTATAACAAAAGTACAGTGCTGGATAGTCGCTACAGAGATATACAGAGATGGATAATATCAATCAAACCATGCACAAATGAAATGAATCAAAATAGAGAGGAAAAAACAAAATCAGACAAAAAAGTAAATAAATAAAAGAAAATAAAAGAAAGAAAAGAAATCAAACAGTGTGGAAAATAATCCCTTCCATGTCATTGCCAGATTACTAGTCATAGTTTAAAGTCACTCTTAGACTAAAACCGCGAAGCATGGCTGAGCTAAATTCAAGTGTCAAGCCTTTAACCCTTTATAGGCACTCAGTGAAATACTTTGAAAATCTAAATTTCAAGCCAAGTTTTATTTGGACCTTATTACCTTTGTAATATAAAAAAAAATATGGATATTTTGACGGCAAAATTTAATAAAATAATGTAATAAAAAGAAACGCCAACTTGCGAAAATATATTAAGAAAAATAAAAAACTATTTGTAAGGGGTATGCAAGTGGTCTAAAACGCTAACTTTCCCTGTAAAGGGTTAAAGGCTCTGGAATTCTTTTTAAAAAGGGGCCCTAAACCTTCTGAACGTTCTGATTTGAATGCTTTAGTGATTGTATAATTTTTATCCAGTTTTAGACAGGACACAAGATCCTCCGTCCAAAAGGTTGAAGATTTAAACTCCCAGAAAGCCTCAGTCCGTGCTGAACCAACCAACCTTTTTGTCCTCCTTGACTTCACTGGAGACAACCGTCCACATGTCTTGGCAACCAGGCAGTTCGAAAGTGGTGACCACCTGAGGCCGAATGCTTCTCTGTGGTGAGAATAGAAACAATAAGTGAAATGAAGCGGTTTTAAAGTGGGTGGATGGATCAGAGGGAGGCTGTATCTGGGGTGTTTACAGGCTGCTCCGTGGATCTCTGAGGCAGCCCTGGTAAACCCAGACTTTACTTTAGCACCGTCACAGGACCTGTGGCGGACGGCCCTCGCCGCCACAGGGTTTCAGGACGGTGCTACAACATTAGAGTGATTTACAGCGGCGCACGATTTACCTGGAGGACGGACAGCGCACCGTTTTTACCGTGACCGGAGCAGACGACCACCTCCAGGTCAGGTTCAGGGTTGCTCTGAAACTGTACGAAAGAAAACAAACGTTTTATTTTAAACAGTCTGTTTTATTCTGATTACTTTTGGCGTTGGGATGGTTAGATGTGCGTTTACCTCTTCGGAGAGGAAGGCAGGCTCCCCCATAGAAGCATTGGCACAAGGACCGATGTTCAGGATGCTGTCACACACCTGCATTGAAACAGAAAACCTTAACAGCAAATGGGATCTTGTTATTTTTTTCCTTTTCCTGTTTGTGTTATTTTTTTGGTAACAGAAAAAATCCTGGGGTTTAACCTTCTCTCCATTTTAACCCTTTAACACTGAATGTTCCTTTTAGAACCGGTTCTATTATGGAAGGTTTTGGCTGAAAACAAATTAGGCTTCGGTTGTAAAAACTTCTCAACACTGATGAACAAAATGAGGTTAAAAAATGTGCTGAGACATGTGCTCCAGATGAAGATAAAAGAAAGATATGCTAAGCTAACACTTTATGTTTTTTTAAAGGATTTCGGGTAGGGATGGGAATCCAAAACTAGTTCCTGTTCTGAGCCGGTTCCATGTGTTCCAATTCCATGGCACCGTTTGGCAGCTCGCTTAACGATTCTCTTAACGATTCCAGGCAGCAGCAGAGCCTAGCACTGGGCAGCACGACTTGCGTCACGTTCTTTATGCAAGTTACGCACACGGCATTCAGTAAGCAAGACAAAACAAATTAAAAAAAATGGCGTTTCATTGGGTAAAGCGATTGAAAGTTTGGCTTCATTTTAATAGGGTGACCAGAGGTCCTCTTTTTCCCGGACATGTCCTACTTCTCAGACCTAAAAAAATGTCGGGGGGGAATTTCAAAATCATGTGGGATTTTGGTCGACTACAGTGCAGCACGTAGTCGAAACAGTGAGCCAGGGCGGGGGACGGAGCGACCAAACCTGACCCGGTAACGGTAGCCAGGACAATGGTAGCCCTGTGCTTCCCACCACCTGCCTTACCGGTCCCCAGCCCCCTTTCTCCGCCTAAGGACGGGCGTCTCATGGCTCTGCTGAGGTCCGGTCCAGTCAGCGACCCAGTAGTCGACAGAAAAAAAGTGTCCTTTTCAGAAACCCAAATCTGGTCACCCTACATTTTAAGGAAGAGAAAGATGGCAATAAGGCGCTTTGCAATCATTGCAAAGTGGCAATTACATCCACGGGAGAAAATGCATCCAACATGGAGAAACACCTGGGCACACAACATGGCATACATTTTAACGAATGCCGCGTTTTTAATGCTTCCAAACAGAAGCTAAAGTTACGACCAGCATGGAAGGCAACTCCTAGTAAATCATATGCTATTTCTGGTCATAAACCATTTTTCTATCTATCTTTGAGGCTATTAAAGAAGTGTGCCTTTCTCGTTAATCCAGCCCTTCATTGCTAACATGTTTAATTAGAACTATTGGTAGCTGGAATTCTTACATGATTCTAGCTATTGCAATGGATGGAAAGAAACATGCTATAAAGTTGCTCTGCAGTTCAGGGAGAGAGAGAAAGGTGACGCTCGTTTGTTTCAATCAGGGGGGATGAGTTTATTTCCCGAAATTGTACAGTAATGCTTTTTCATTAAACGGATGCCTTCTCCAGTCGATGACTGTGACGAGAATCGACAAGAGAATCGAATTGTTTCAAAGAATCGATAAGGGAATCGGAATCGTGAAAATCTTATCAATTCCCAACCCTTATTCCAGGTTGAAAATTTCACCTTTTAAGAAACTAATTTCAGTGGATATAAAACCATCCGCTGTTGTCTTTGGAGCACTTCAGCATGAGCAGATGTTCCTCTCAGTGTTTTCTGATCACAGAAAATGCTTCCATTTGTGTTTTTTTTTAAATAAAACTGCATATATCAGTGTTTGAAACACTTTGCACATCTGTCAGACTCCTGACTTCATAGTCTCTCTGCTCTGCAGCGTTTAGGGAAGTAGGGATGGAGTCACTGCAACCCCAGCTGCTGCCATGATAAAATTATTGTGAAGAAGATAAACTCACCAAAACAGAGGAAAGTCTTTAGATTTGTCTGTTGTCACTTTATACAAAAAAGGTTGATAAATGTGTCTGTGGTGCAAAATTATGGAATGAATAGATTAATGGCAGATAGACCAAACTGGACTGTTTGTAGTTTTCCTTCCCCACTGAGATCACCGCAGCGCTCTGTAGCCACCAGTTAGCTTCAGAAGCTAACCAGCATTACAGCAACAGGAGCCAATATAATAGCCAATAGTGTTGGTTTTCCAACATAAATTTTAACATTTAATGCCACTAACAAGTGTTCAAATATACAGTAAACTGCATAAAAGGCTTTAAACTGTTTGGACATATTTATTCTGAAGGTGAGGCAGCGCACCATGTGAAGCAAATCTTCAGATCACCTCCTCTTTAAATGTGGTGCATTTCTGTTTTATTTTGAAAAGGTTCTGATTTTATTTTCACCTCAAATGAGTAGGTAGCCAGCTGCGTGCCTGACTGGGCCTCGCTGCCGTACACCTCGATCTCATCCACCTCATCTGTAAAGAAAGAGGCGGAGCAATAAGCCGATCAGCCTGTGGGACGGAGACACCAGAGGAGTAGACGGTGGACGCACCTGTCCAGTTGGTGGAAGACTCCACTCGCTTCTTTTTGACGGGCGGCTCCTCCTGGAAAGGATCAGTATTAAACTATGAATTCATTCAGTTAAACTTCGGCATCAGACTGAGAGCTTCTAGAACACAGACCTGTTTGTCTGTTTCTTTCTCTTTTTCCTGCTTGTCTTTTCCGTCCTCAGCAGGCGTCTCCTGCAGCTTCTCGGTGTACTTCAGGAGCAGCGAGTTTCCAAGCCGCGAACCGAGGAACAGGTAGCCGGGCTCCATGGTAACCATCTGGAGGAGGGAAAGAGTACATGGTCACAGCTACTATTACGGATTCTAACCTAAAAACGCAACTTTTTTCCTGATCCTTTAAAACTAGGAACTCACACATGTTGTGAGGACGCTGGCTGCAGCTTTGTCAAAGTGGAAAGCTCTGACGCTCCTCATGCCGTCTGTTATGAGCGTCAACACATAACTGGAAGGAAACAGTCAGGGACAAATCCTAAATGTCAGCAGGATTCAAGCGTGAGCTGAAAAGTGTCAGAGGAACTCACATCTCTCCTCCTTTTAGGGAGATCACCATCTTGTCAGCCGCTATAAAGTCAGACTGGGAGCAGTCCAGTGTTATCTTCACTTCCTCCTGGACACCTGTCAATCATCAACACATTCTTTAGAGGCAGAGCCGAATATCTAAAGTTATACTGGAACTATCAGGCAGTCAGGAGGTCTAAAGATGAAAATGATTAAATATTTCTACAGTTTTTTTTTTGAAAATGTAAGGAAATGTAAGGAATTAGAGGCGAAAAGGAAGGAAGGAAGGAAGGAAGGAAGGAAGGAAGGAAGGAAGGAAGGAAGGAAGGAAGGAAGGAAGGAAGGACACGAACGAAGAACGGACAGGAAGGAAGGAAGAACAGAGAGGAAAGAAGGAAGTAAGAACGGACATGAAGGAAGGAAGAACGGACAGGAAGGAAGAGAGAACGGAGAGGAAGGAAGAACGGAGAGACAGGAAGGAAGGAAGTAAGAACAGACAGGAAGGAAGGAAGGAAGGAAGGAAGAACGGGCAGGAAGGAAGAAAGAACGGACAGGAAGGAAGGAAGGAAGAACGGACAGGAAGAACGGAAGAACGGACAGGAAGAACGGACAGGAAGGAAGGAAGGAACGACGGAGGAACGGACAGGAAGGAAGGTAGAACAGACTGGAAGAACAGACAGGAAGGAAGGTAGAACGGACAGGAAGAACGGACAGGAAGGAAGGAAGGAACGACGGAGGAAC